TCTCGAATAGCAGAATGATGCAGATACTCATTTTGTGTTCTGAAGCAAAATTCTTAAGGAGTTCATAAATTACTGTCATAAACTTGCCAATGGTACTGGCCTTCATATGCATTTAAAGATAAGCAGACTGTTCTTTTGAGGTCATGCCTTAGCAGTCAACTAAACCATGATTATCTTCTAGTCATGAAAACAATGTAGGTTTTTTTTTTTATATATTGCATACACTGGCAGTGTGGGGAAGATACTTTTATTTCCCACTGGATTGCTACCTCAGAGCTGGAATTTGGCTCCCACGCTAAAACACAGTCCAAGGCAAAGCTGCCATCCAACAATCTCTTATTAATGGCCACATGATAAAGGGCAAGCCAATCTGGGGGATCTGCAAGCCAGCCATAACCCTGAGTCCTTACTAAGACTGTCATCACAACACATCACTATGCTGAGCGTGACTCGCTAAACACTCAGTCTAATATTTTGGCCCGGGACAAAATCTCTTGATCTTACCAAAGTAGTGCATTCATCTCTGTCAGATACTTTACCCCTTGCTTCACAGAAATTCCTGTGTTCAGGTCTCACAATGTTTCTCAAGGTTTTTAAATAAAAAAAGGCTCAAACAGAGAGAAGGCTGAGTAAATCAGACATTGTGCAAGTTTTTTTCTTCAGTAAGCCAAGGTTTTTATGAGCTTTGGTTCAATTTCCTATTCACAAGATGAGTTAGTATTTTATAATGCTGACACAAATTAACTCTTTGTTACAGTTCAGGCAGTCTGCAGAAGTGTTGGAAGCTTTTCTCTCTCCCCTCCGCAGTGACAGAGCAGTTTAACTATTGTGGAAAAGATGATAGGTTTCTTCTACTGGGGGAGTGAATGAAAACGTGTGGCAGTGTTGAGTACTGTGCATCTCCCCGAGCCACGTGTCTTTGGAGGAGTTACTTCTAGTATATGACCACTTCTGCTAGTGTCACCAGTTCTAGAGGGCTGAAATAATTTCCAGCTTGCTATCCTGCTCCTCATGCGGCACCCTCTGAAGACAAACATTTACTTGTAGGATGATTTTGCATGCTCAGAGTGTGAGACTGCAGATGTAGCCTTGGATAGCAGGGAGCCTCCGATCACCTCCCCTCTCTGCTCACATACAGCACCAGGGACTTCAGGAGTCTACCGACACAAATAGCATCACAAGGCAAGTCAGATCCACCAGCTTTCAATGAGAAGCAGTGTGCTTAGTTATAGATGAATGCGGATCCAGGCAGGGAAGCCCTTCAGAGCAGGAAGAGCTTTTTTGCTGGAGTTTTATTTAGCATTTGCAAAGGAAGAAACCCACAATGGCTGGGCACTACTTGACACATTAGAACTAAGAAGAAAGCAAGCACAGTGTATTTTTCTGTGTTGTAAAAGTGCTCTGGTGGAGTTCATTTTCATTTGATAAGAAACCAACAAAATATTGCACCACAAGTCTTCATTGCCTTGATTAGTTAATAAAGAAACACAACAAAGGCAAAACCAGGAGTAACCTTCTTTTCATACTGAAATAATTAGACCTTGCAGCGAAAGGAAACATGAGGGAAAACTGCCCTCCTGGAAAATACTGTGTTTTGTGCTATTTAGAGCCCCATAAAAACCCTGAAAAAAAGATTAGTTATTCCATTTTCCTTTGCAAGCAAAATTATTAGGACAGACAAACACCCTGAAGAAGTTAAAACAAATAATGGGGCTGGGGAGGTATCATGTAATTGTCTAGGCATCCTTTAAAAATTATATTTGCAGGATTTAACACAAGACTCTCCAACAAGACTCTCCCCTGCCCGAAAAACATTGGTGTATTGACCTGGCCAATACACACGAACCTGTGTCGATCCCTCAATAAAACCAGCAAAACCATCCTTATACTATGAATCTTACTAGAATAAAAGTTCGAACTACTGCCTTGCTGATGCAGTCCCAGATTACAGAGTGATGTTTTCCTGTGGGTTGCACTGCTGCAAGACACCTTGTACTCCTAATACCAAGCCCAGACTGCAAACTGAAAGAGGCCTTTAGGAAAATGAGGCCATCAATAAAAGCAGAGCCGGTAAACATTTGAATGATGTGCTCAGCATGCAGAGCACGCCACTGGAGGTTTCAGTATAATCCTCATTTCTTTACCTAGTGGCAGAAGCGAGGACCTGGTGTGGTGTGATAGAAAAAGGGCCATATCCTTTGTGGTGTACCACATTCAATTAATATGTCAGGCTTTCTACGTCTGTCACTGCTCGCAGGGTCTGGAACAATGGTTCTGCTTCCCCACTCCCCTCTTTTTTTCCCAATTTTCACATAGTATCAAGCTAGAAAAGAGTTATGGATTTCCTTCTGAGTGAACTGCATGGACTGATAAAGTGAAATCCATGGCAGAAAACAGCTTGTTATTTTTCCCTTTACCTCATGATTTCAGTTAAGAGAGAAAGTGCAATAAATTTTGGCGGGAAAGAAAGAAAAGAGACAGTTTTGGACGTTTCAAATGACTGGTCTATATAAACACTATTGAGAAATAGGGGTGAGAACAACCGACCCTAGGGATGATTATTTTTCTTGCTCTGACGCCCAAACGTTTCTTTTGCTGCGCCCAGGATTTTGAAATTGTGCGAAGTTCATTTGAGTAGGGAAAGGAACAAAAAGGGAACTGCTGGAAAACCGTCACAGCCTTCCACATTCAAACATAATATTCTTTCGCAACGCTGAAACATTTGCTTTTTAACTCAACCGAAGCACTGTTGCCCAAGCATTTCTAACACCGTACAGTGAGAGTTTGCTCCTGCTTGTGCTGGGTACAGACCAGGATCTGCGCCTGGATTGACAAAACTGGATGAATATCTCAAGGTATCTAGCGTTAGACTTCTAGACTGGCAAGAATTCTAGCACAGTCCATGAAGAAACACAAAGCACTGGCACGATAATAATGCTAACAGCAATAATGACAGCTGTAATTACGAGGAGGATAAAACCCGTTCTGGAGTGTTGGGTTAAATCACTTGCTGGATTAACCAGCTTTAATGAAACTCCACCTTTTCTGGACAAATCAGTCCTTGGTCTCCAACCAGCTGCTATCAGGCTGTTTGGGCTCCTGCCTGCAACACGGCCTCTGCTGTCCCCGTCCCATCTCGTGGGCTGGCTGTGTTCTGGCACTGGCTCCAAGCACTGCCCCGTGAGGTTTGCTCTGTTTGTTATTTTATCAGAAGCACAAAATTTCCTCAATAAGTCTTCCTGTGCTACAGATTAAACAGTAAACAGTTGGGCGAGCTAAAAAAAAAAAAAAAAAAAAAAAAAAAAAAAAAAAAAAAAAAAAAAAAAAAAAAAAAGGGCTGACAAAAAGAGGGAAAATCCTTTTTGTTT